GCCGGTGACATTCGCTCAGACGCCCTGAGTCTTTTTGACCGTGCATCCATTGCGAGCTGCAGCATTAATTATGTCCCTCTGGACAGGTGAGGATGGTTCGCTTGACGAAAAAGTTATCGCAGTTTCTCATTTTTGAGGTGGAAAGGCTCCGACCCCAACAGTACCGTTACGCGGCGAGACGACACAAAGCCCTCGCAGATGCGGCATAATGTGGATGCGTCTGGCAGGGATCTTTTCTCTTTCCGTTATTCATAGGTTGATTGGGTGATTGATTTGTTGCTTTTATTTTATCGATTATCGACGACAACGGATTATCGAACTATCACGCTAGCCCGGGGCGGATGCGTAACGTGTGTGTGTGCGTGTGTTTTGCGCCCGCCGCTGCAGCACCGAGTATGGGGGCTGCTGCTCTCTCTATTTCATATCTGCTCTCAGTAGTGAGGACGTGCTCGACGATGGTGCTGGTGTGCGGGCCATAGGATGCATTCAGGAAGGCGTTAGGGAAAACAATCGATGAAGCCCTTCTGTGACGCGCCACCTCCTGGAGGTTGTGAGTGTGCGTTGCTGGCCGACATGAGGGAGAGCGTGGGTGCCACGGCTGTGCGGCTGCGCAGCCACCCATCGTACTCTGCTCGACAGCGTCATTGATTGTTGTTTTGTTTCTATTTTTGTCTGGGTGCTTGCAGTGACTCTCTCATGTTCCACGATGACTGTGTGGGAGGGAATGCCTGTCACTTTTTACACTTCTGATGTTGTGTAGAAAGAACAGCGAGAGAAGGAACGAAGAATTATGCGGAATGATGTATTTCTTTTTGTATGTACATACTGGTGTGTTCTCTTGGATTACTCTGGTGGCTTCCTCCACTTTTTCACTTTTTTTGAAGTTGCTCCACACGTGTCTCAGTGTTTGCTTTAGGACGGCCACACACGGGTAGCTTGAGTCGTGGATATTTTTCTTTTGTGTTCCATTTTGTGTTATACGCTGACGCGGGCACGTGCGGCAGGCATCCACTCTCCACAGCATGGCGCCCGGTACTTTGGAGTCATCCCGGATGTAACGCCGGCACCACCGCCGTGGCACGCATGGGAGGTAAGATTTAACGCGGGATAGCAAAAGATATTGTGCTGCACATGTGCCTGTTGCATTTGTTCTGTCGAGGAGGTCTTTAGTTTAGAGGAAGAGGGATGGACACTGCACGATTCTGTGGCTTGGAGGAGCTATTGCCCCCTTTTTAGATATATTTTTGGTATGATCCCTGGCCCCACTCGTGTCTGCTCCGATTGTTTCCCCTGAGTGGAGCTGCGCCATGGCCATTATTATTATTATTATTTTGGTTGTTTGCAGGAGGAAAAACACATTGCGAGTGACGAAACCACACTTCATGCATGCGGCGTCCAGGGACGTACGTATTTGAGGTGGGGTGCACATATGTGGATGTCACGTGAGAAGGAACGGGGGTTGACTGCCCAACCGTCACTCCTTTTCTGGAGAGTGTGCTCCTATTTTTCTGTCGCCCTTTTGTGTCGGGGCACGGCGGGATTGGACGGCACCGTCCCACGAAGGGCCTTGCACACATACACACTCTGATGCCACCGTCGCCCCCGAATTCGGGAGTAAAACCCAAATTCCTGCTGCTTTTTGCATTGGCGCAATTATTTTCGTTTATTATTGGCTGACGCCATTCTGTCCGGCGTGCCACTTTGATTGGACTGTGTGGGATCGCTCGCCAACGCTATCGAACAAAACAGGCTAAAACATTCGCGTATTTAACAGCCGTCTTGCGCGCACGTATTTTTTTCACTTGTTCTGTTGGTGTGCACTCAAACAGCGAGGAGTCCGGAACTATGCGTGCGTGGAGTTTGTCCTGTCATGTGAACTGCGGGCAGCACCGAGGGGCTGTCACTTTGATTCGGTAGAGTTGTTGTGTCTCCTTGCGGGGTTGGCGGGGAAATTCCATGCAGCCTGCTATTGGTGCTGTGTGCTTAAATGCCACTCCATGCGAATAATTTGGTTTAGCGAGTGAGGGGGATGATTGGGTTTGTGGGCGCTCTGATTGTGTTTGCTGCTTTGTGCGGGCACGCAAGACTTGAGAGGTGGGAAGATGGAGCGGGGCGGTGCATGGCCGCGTCCCAGACTGATGGTGCTCGCCTCGGACAAGGGAAGGGCCGTACTCGTGGAAATGGAAGGAGAACAAATCCACTCGTGTCTGCTACGTGAACTGTGAGGTGGAGCGAGTGTGGCGGATTGTCAAGGGCGATCTCACCGAGTGGTTCAGCACTGACGGTGAGCCCTACTTTACGCCTGGGCGGCGTGTGTTGATTGGGACGCCCGGGATCGGGAAGTCGATGGCTGCCGGCTCGTACCTCCTCTACCAGCTGCTGCACTGCGATGTCGAGAAGCTCCAATTTGATGTCTACAGTGTTGGTGGAAGTACGACGTACGTGTGTGACAAGGCCATCAAGACGGTGACAAGACACGTGGGTGGAGGAGCATCCACGGACGTTTTGTGTGATTGTGGGATTGTGTGATGAAAGGGCATATTTTCTACGACGTGACAGAGAAAGGGACACCGCCAGCGGAATATTTTGTGTCTAGCACCGGATGGGGCATGAGTGTGGTGTCACCCCAAACGTGGGCAACTGTGATGAATGGGAGACGCAAGTAAAAGCCGAGCGGATCATCGTGAATTGCCCGACGAGATGGATGTGAAGGCGATGTGTGCGTGGATGGAGCGCGATGGGACTACGGATGGGCAGGCGGAGTGCTGGAAGATGGTCGAAGAACGCATGGATAAAGTGGGGCCGATTCCACGTCACATCTTTGATGCGAGTAAGTTCATTGCACACTCTGCTGCCATTGAGGACGCCTTGGATGGGATCAAGTCTCGGGATGGTGAAAAGCACTTTAAACATCGGGGAGTGAGGCTGTGGTATTCTGGGGATCCGCCTCAAAAGGTTGTGAGTGTTTTCCGAGCAAGAGGAGAATTCGGTGCTGGGGGATTTCTCAACGCACCGATATCCGTTTGCCTCGGGCGTCGAATAGCGCACTATTTTGGGGGACGCGATGAGTGATGGGGATTTAGTTCTGTTGCTAGTATTGGGGAAGAGGAATACTCTTTCGTCTGAATGTGTGGAGGGTTTGGCTTGCGCGCATTCATGTTTGGAGTGAGTTTTTCGGTGCATTAGTAGAGGAACTCAAGGAGCTGGGGCCACCAGCACGTCGTGGAGGACAGCACGCAGTGCTGAAGGCGATCCCTGGAGGGCACCCCACCGAGTTGTATGTGGATCGGCTGCAGTGGAATATCATACAAATAGTACTATAAAGCATCGGCTGCTGTGCATACCGGCGGTTGGAAAGTTTTTGCTGGTGGACGCCTTTTTCTTCGTGGAGTCATCCAATGACGCTGATTGGGCTGCGTGTAACTACGGCGGGTGGGCACCACATCACCGCCAGCACCGTGAGGCAGTTCACTGAGTGCCTGGCGGCGTATTTTAATGGTTGGGAGGAGTTATCCCGAGACATGTCGTGGGAGATGATTTACGTGCAGCACGCAGACAGCACGCCGATGGATGGCTGGGAGAGACGTGGTGTCGTCAATCTCGATAGTGTGAGCGACGATGAAAGCCGTGAAATAGCGGGGCTTTGGAGGGAAGAGATGCACCAGTACCAAGTGTCAATATCATCTGGGGGCTTTGGAGGAGACGCAGCTCTCCGAAGTGAGGAATAGCCACGGAAATGGGAAAAGGAATTGGGGAGGGAAGGGGGCGGTTCTGATTTCTGGTAAAAACTAATGTGGGATATATATATTTTTGGATGCTTGTGTGTGCATGCATACGGTGCGGGTGCACCAGCACCATGCGGCAGCACCGCACACGAAGGCCAGGAACGTCCAACGCTATCGAACATAACAGTGACAGAAGAAATTAGGGGTGGAGTGGGGTTGTTTGTTTTCTGGTGGAAAACGTTGGGTGATTTTTATATAGTATGTTAATTGTGCGTGCGCATGCATACAAGGCATAATTGGAGAATTGCCCCGGAATGAGGGAATCATTGTGGCTGGCGGTGTCACGGCGTTACTGCATTGTCCATTTTCTTCTATTGTGTTCTAAGGCCCATCACTAACAGAAGCGTCTTAAAGGGATGGACGAATAAGTTGTATTGAGGAAGTGCTGCACTCCGTGACCGCATGGAGTGAGGCGGCGCGTCGTGGATGGATGAGGAATCGCTTCTGCGTGTGTGGCTCTGTGGTGATAGCTCGCTCCTTTTGCGCTGTGTGTTGGCTGCGGGGCTGCGGCCGTATCCCGTTGGCCGTGGGATTGAACTGGAGGCGATGGCGGCGTTGGGTCTCTTCTTCTCTTCCATGGTGGGTGGCTGCTGGCGGTGTGTGCGTTTGTTGTGTGGAGAGCCGAATCCTCTCACCCGCGGACTGACGGCACTGCGATGGTGTTAGTGTGTGAGGGCTGGTGTGGAGTCGCCGGCCAGGGCGAGGGCCGTGGCGGTGCTTTTCTCGAGACTGGTGTTTGTTCCTTTTGTGTGCTTGTGCTGCTTCTTGCCTTTCCCTGTAATCTTCTCCTCCTGTGTTCCTGCGTGGAGTGGCTGCATGCTCACGGGCCATTTTGATCGTGAGTGCCTCTTGACGGCATCCATCCATCTCCCTTTCTCTCACTGTCTTTCCTTTCCTGTTGGGTGTGAGGCGTGTTGCACCGCGTGAGGGCTGTCCCGCACACACCGACGGCCCGCCGTGACTTGCCGTGTTGCTGCTCTTTTCTGTGGGCGATGGCTCTCCGTGCTGTTCCTTCCGGATTGTCTTGTGCCCCGCTCTATGCGTGGGTACTCTGCCCTGCTCACCGCTGACGTGTCTGATGTATTGCCGCTGTCGCTGTCTCCTCCACCTGTTGAACACACACATAGAGGGAAAACAAGCGCGAATCGCTACTGTGAAATTCGAAGGCACTGAAAGGACCAACAGCACACACACCGCCCACACACACATATTTATATGCTCTCACGTGTTGCTGCAGTGAAGGCACCCCGCACACACAACCGTCGCCGCGTGACCGGATCCAGCGGAAGGAGGAGGGAAGGAGGAGAGGGTGAGCCGCAGGGGCCCAACATGTCCCGGCGTGCGTCTACTTCCGCGGTGCTGCTCCTCCTCGTCGTGATGATGTGCGCCGCCGCGGGGTCTGTGCAGGCCCAAAACTATGGAACGGGAGTGGACGATCACTATGGAGGACACAGTTTGGAGCGGTTGCCAGGGGAGTATCGAGCCGCAAACCCACCGGTCCCTGGCCACATTTTCCGCAATCCCCATCTTGTAAATGTGGACGGGTTGCTGCTGGCCATTGCTGGAGCTCAGTTCAATAGAACTGTGGGGAGCGGGAGTGCGTCCATGCAGTTGATGGCACGGATCAGCGTTGATGCTGGGAGGACGTGGCAGTCGTACGCGGGGCCAGTAGGTCGTGACGCTTTTGCTGCACACCCTTACCGGATGTCGTTTCCCTCGCCTTTTGGACCCTTCGGACCGCTTTTTGCTTTTGTGGAGGGCTACGACTTACGGAACGGGGCCATGATTCGGTTTCCCGATGAGCGGAGAAGTGGGTTGGAGTCTGTTATCCATTTTATGGAGACGGGGCCTGGACTAAGCGGAGGTTTGTCGATGAATTCCGTCTCTATGAGCTTTCGCCTTCACTATCCCTATAAATACGGTGACATTATTGGCTTCCTCAACGATGCCAGCACTCCCATCACGAGAATGCAGGATGGCACGCTCGTGTTTCCCGTGCAGTTTCTGACAATGGGAGGGAGCACTGCGTCCACAGTCATGTACTGGAATTCCGGTCAACAGCACTGGACCTTTGCGAACAGCGCGACACATGCGGGCTGCACCAGCCCCAGTATCCTTGAGTGGGAGGCTGGAAAAATTATCATGATCACCTCATGTGAGTCCGATCGCCGAAGGGTGTACGAGTCGACCGACAAGGGGAACACGTGGACGGAGGCTCTGGGGACGCTCTCGCGCGTGTGGGGCAACTCATTGGCCGGTCTTGGGCTCCACATTCAGAGTGGATTCATCACAGCAACGATTGGCGGAAAGAAGGTGATCCTCCTCACCCAGCTGGAATATTTCAGGGACAACCAAATGGGCAGGATTCACCTGTGGCTAACGGACACGAACCGCATTTACCACGTTGGCCTGTTACCCACTGGGTATGGCGCGACCTCCAGCTCTCTGTTGTACGCGGATGGTAGGCTGTATTGTTTGTACAAGACAGGTTTTGGAAACGACTCCGTAGCCGACCCCTTGGATCTGACGCTTGAGCTGCAGAGGATAATGTATGCGCTGTCTACCTGGGCCGCAAATGACAATGCCTTGAGACAATGCAGCTCAATTGCCGCGAACGCCGCGCTGTCAAGATGGGACTGTTCTGTTTCTATCCCCACGGCTGGGCTTGTGGGCCATTTGGCCGATACGCTCCGTGGGGACACGTGGGAGGACGAGTACCTTGGGGTGAATGCCGTTGTGAGGGGTGCGAAGAAAAAGGCTCCCAGTGGGTTGACGTTCGAAGGGCAGGGCGCGGGGGCCGAGTGGCCTGTGGGCAAGCAGTGGCCGAACATACCGCTCCACTTTGCAAACTATGGGTTTACTCTTGCGGCAACGGTGTCGATCCACGAGGTGCCGAAGGGCATCACTCCCCTGATGGGCCTGAAGAAAATGGGGACGACAACACTCCTGGGACTGTCGTACGATAATAATATGGAGTGGAGCGTGGTGAATGACTTGTTCCCGAAGCATTTCACCGCATGGGAGGTGGACAAGACGTATCACGTGGTGCTCAAAATGCATGACGGTGTGGGCTCCGTGTACGTTGACGGGACTCTCCTTTGGAATATGAGGCTGAGAAATTCGTTCAATGAAGGGCTGGACGAGGTCTCACACTTTTACTTTGGCGCGTACGATGAGCAGCTGAGCAGCAGAAAAATCCATGCGACGGTGGCGAACGTCTTTCTGTACAACCGCCCGTTGAATGAAACTGAGATTGGCGCCCTCAACGCGAGTAAAGTCACCATTCCACCTCCGGAAAGGGAGCCGGAGCCGGCGGCGGCAGCTACTTCTCCGTCTGTTGAATCTGCCAGCGATACGGTTGCCACAAATACGCAGCCAACTGTGCCATCATCTGCTGCTGCCGGACCACAGCAGACGGACCAAGCAACTTTGAGCGCGAGCAGTGGTGCGAGCAGTGGTGCGAGCGGTGGCGCTCCATCCACACCAGCGGAGTCGGAATCAGAAGAGCCGAAATCAGCGGACTCGGAATCAGAAGGGCCCAGGCCAGCGGAGTCGGAATCAGAAGGGCCCAAGCCAGCGGAGCCCAATGCCGCGACATCCTCAGCAAGGGAGAGGAGCGCAGACCAGTCGGCATCTGTTACATCTTCAGGTGCCGCCAGCTCGGAGGATGAGGCTTCCTCATCTGATGATGCACAAACGGTGGGGACGGAAGGTGGGGCTATGATGCAGGCAGATCAACCAACCCAATTCTCTGTGGGCACCCCCGACACAGCAAATGCAGCAACACACAACGCTGAGGGCAAGGGACAAGAAGGGCTCCATCCACAGGTCAAGGAAGCAGAGGCGGCGACACCCAGCAGCAGCCTTTTAAATTCGTCGCAGTGGGATAACAGCGTTGCTGGCACTATGCGTGAGAGCGGACTGCTGCCGCTGCTTCTTCTGCTGGGGCTGTGGGGGTTTGCGGCTGCGTGAGGAGCACTTGTGCCCTCCCCTGCACCGACACACACACCGCTAGGAACAAATTTCACTTTGCAAATAAGAATTTTTTTTTCTTTTCCAGTTTTTTTTGTGTTTCTTTGAATACTCAGTTTTTTTATTTTTATGGTCGGTCGCTAGACACCGTCACGAGCGACGTGTTTCCGACTTTTTTTTCTCTTTTTTTGCCCACTCGCGGCGCCGGCGTCACTGCTGCGCGTCCGGCGGAATGCACGAACGAGGATTGGAAGAAAAGGCCGGATGCCGCATGAAATGCGAGGAATGTTGTGTGGGCTGGTGGAAGAACGCGATGTTATTATTATTATTATTTCATTTTTCTTTTGTGCAGGTAATATATATGCACGCACCCGATCGTCTTGAGCCGCATGGCACATGAAATTCCTGCCGAATCATTTCTTTTCTTTTTTCTGTTTTCCGGGAGCCCTGCGGGATTCTCATTCTTTCTTTTTCGTCTTTTCTTTTTTTGGTAAATCACTACTGTCTCTTTTCCGTTTGTGCCGTGTCCACTGTCACTTTGTGTCTCCGTGTCCCGTTGAGTGTCCCTCTGCTGGTTGTGCTTCTGGCATGTCCCCATTTCTTCTCTTTCTTTTCTGCTAGAGGCACCGATGGTCCGCGACGACGATTGCTTGTGCACCCCTCTGCGATGGCACGAGGGTGACTGGGCGTCCTGCCCCGGCCCGCTGAGCACACTCGGAATTGAGCGGATGGTGTGCGCCGTGCCTCACTCTTGAGTGTGGGCGCCACCCACCACGACCTGCTGTGAGCCGCAGTGATATTCCGTCGGGGCGGGGAGAAGTGAAGGACTGCGCCGTGGACTTGGATGCGCCCCGCCCTTCTTGTTGTTGCCGTCTGTGTGGGTGTGTCCTTTGGCTGCCCAAAACTCATTGGCGCCGCAAATGCGGCAACACAAGAGTTTGATTGCGTGGAGGCGCCACCGTCGCTTGAATCAAACTATGCATGTGGCAGACACGCAAACAGGAAATCGCACCGGATTATTCGCCTGGGCTGCTGGCCGGATCCTCAAGTATCCCAAAGGAATAAAATACGACGGGAAGGAAGTGTGAGTAAATGGAGAGGCAGTGGGTCCGCCAAATCCTCGTTGTTTGCTCCGCATATATTTATTCATTCTGTTGTTCCCACGCACGTGACATGTCGAACGCTCTGTTCGGATTGGATACATATATGTATATGTTTGTAGCTTACCCAGTGGCAGTTTTGTTCCTCGAACAATTTAGCGTATTTGCGTTGTTCTCTGGAAAACGAAAGCAACTTGTTTAGGGCTTGTGGGGCACGTTCCGGGGTACCATGCGACTTTTCCGCTAGGAACCTTCGCGCAAGGCTCGACGCACCATGGTGCGGTTCCTGATCCCGGAACCGTTGCCGCAACCTTTCTTTTCATTCTTTTTGCCACGCCCAATCCCGCCAGAAAGGCCAAAGACAGAAAACAATTGGAATGTTTGTCCCCATTTTATGAATCGTCGACTGGCGCGGTTCCGGAAGCAGGGAGGCAGTGGTGTCCGGACAATTTTTAATTGTTTTTGCTTCTGCCGTCCCGCCCGCCCACTTTGTGATCCTCACCCTGCGGCGTGGTCGTGTGGCTGGAGGACCCCAAAGTCTGCCACTTCGTGAGTTATGAAGGCACACATCCACAGACAGACACACACAGATATATATACACACGCCCAATCTAAATGGAGGGATCATGCCGTGGAAGTGGCCACCATGATGCGCATACATAAATATGCACTCACTTGGCCTAACCGCTCATTGAGGATTTGGCGAACTCCCGCCCCCATTCCGTTCACCTCTTCTCGTTCCCGTCTTGTTTGGCTCCAGTTGGCGACCGCAAGGTCCGGTCAGCGGCCCGGGTGCGTACTCTTTGAGTTTTATTTATGCACGCACTTATATTTTCTGTGTTTGTTTTGTCCACCCTTTTGTTTTTGCTTAATTCATTCCCTGTACGGGGTTGCGCTGCGTGTGTTTCTTTTTGCACATGCGCCGTTACGGGCGAGGGAGCGGTGCGGAAGGTGCTGGCCAGTGTGGGCCCGTGTGTTGGACTCACGAGGATCCCTTTTTTTTTTTTTTTGTGTGTTGGGGGCGTTGAATTATTGCGCCCTTTTTTTTACGTGCGCAGTAATGACTCCTCGTGTGCATATGTGACTCTTTGCAGGCCGGGGCCCTTTTCCCCTTCACAAGGCCGCAGGGATTGTTTTTTGCGTGTCATTTTCCCCGACCCCCTCCAGATGTTTGATCGTTTGACAGGGCGTTCCTGCGCTCCTGGAGCACTCTTTTCACACCGTTGTTGCGTCTCTCCTTTCACTTTGCCTCTAAAAAGCGAAAATAGCGGGCCTACACGCTCTCCCACACGACGAGTAATATTATGGAAGTTGAGTTAATGGGCATGCGAACGCGCTCTGCGACAAGGAACGCAGTCCGGTGGATGGTGCTGTTTCTCCTGCTGCAGTACCTGGGCAGCCATCCCTCCTTTACCGCTGCAGGGGAGGAGGAGGAAGGACACGTGGTTATTGAAATTGTGAAGTATTTCAACTACCCCAATTCTATTTTTTTTCAAAATTATGCCGGTGACGTGAGTTATTTTAGCTCTGATGACGTCTGTCATTTGGGTGGAGGCGTCCTTTCTGCGGATCAAACACCTGCTGCACATGTGGCCATCGCGGATGAGTTGAGAAAGACCGCAGTCCATAATTACGACACAAGCCATGCGTACCTGGGTGGAGACGCCGACCACGCGGCGACCCCAACAACAGATCCCAAAAAAAGGTGTGGACGAGGTTTGAAGTGGGCAACGTTAAACTGCATCTTCAAGTGGAATCAAGGGGCGTTTGCCGACTCCTCGGCTGATGGTCTTGGTGTTGCTTTTTTCAGGGGCACACTGTATACGCTTGTTGACGTGGGACCAATGAACGGGTACAAGGCTTATTGGCCCTATCATTACCCTCATCACGGCAAGACGTTCTTAATGCTTCGTCTGAAAAAAAAGGAAAACAGTGGGAACGCAACGTGGTATGATTGGTACCCTGCGCCTAAAGACCACGGCGACACGCCTTACCGTTCATTTGGCGTCGTCTGTGAGACTCAAAAAGGGTACGTCGTCAGCACTACAACACTTCCACCGGCTATAGTGGTCCCGTGGTTGCAGAAGAATTGGTATGTTGTCTTGATTGTGGTATTGCTGCCGGTTGTTGTTGCCGTCGCGCTAATCACCGTCTGCTTCTACCGTTGCCGCGGTGTTGACGATGAATCGAAGTGGGTGGTGCACATGGTATTGCGGGAGATAAACGACAATCCCTTGTATGCAATTGACAGGAATGATGGAATCTACAATAATGACGGACAGATGAAGCAGGATTCAACGTTGGGTGATGGGATGCCCACGACTACTCCCTCTTGGCACGAAAACGCTGAGGTCCCCACGGTGATAGCGAGTCAAGAAAGCACCGTGTACGATCTCGGGGATGTATTTTAAATTTTTTTATTACTTATTATTTACGCCTTTCTGCCGTCTTGCATGTGTATTCACGTGTCTCTTGCAGTTCCTGCCTGTTTGCCCACGATTTTTGAATTCAAGAAAAGGAATAGATGTGTGGGTAATGCAGCGACTGTGGGAGAAAGGAGGCATCATGCAGAAAGAGCGGAGCAGAAGGCATGATTTGGCTCCACCATTCTTTGTTTTTGTTTGTTTATTTCTACCTCTCAGTTTAAGGCTGCGCACGTATAGGCGCTGAGCCCTTTTTCCCACCAGCATCCTCTCTTTTCCCCTATTTACACTGGCGGAAAAATGGCTGTGGGAAGAAAAAAGAAGGAAGGAAAATGATGGGGGAGAAACAACGTGTCATTGTGAATGTGAATATTAATTTGTTAAAACTGTGCCATTAGAATTGGGAGGGGGGGGGGAATTAATCATTGTTCCTTTTGTTTTTACAATTTTTTTTTTTTTTTTACTTTGAGAAGTTTGTGGGAAGAGTGTGCGTCACGATGAGGCTGAGCAGATGATAAAGTGTCCTAATTAACTGCCATGTTTCTTTGTCGATTGTTGGATTATTGTTTTTTAAAGTGAGCGCGTGTGTTGAATTGGTGGATTTTTTTTTTTTTTTTCTCATTTGCCGTCATCGCTTCCGTTGCTTTTAACGCGGAGGTGTCTGACGGATGTGAAGCTCCCCCCCCCCCCCCCCC